CCGAAGGTGCAAAGCGCTCCACGCCCCCCGGGGCTAAAAGACGCTTTGCGTCAATTGAAGACGCAACAAATTGAAAAAAAATCTATCTGAAGATCACGAAGGGAAGGGAAGGAGGGGTAGTGGACCTGAGAATAAATGCAGCCGTTACTGAAGGAAAATTTTTAATTCAATTTAGGAGCTAATATTTACGTGTATTTAGTTAAAAAAGTCTCTACATTTGTGTGGAAATAATTTAAGTTTATGGAAGGATGGAATATTTGAAGTCATCTTTGTCAACTTAAGATTTCTTAAGAGAGCCAGCTTTAGACGTCTTTGCCGTCATCATCAGTCATTTTGTGGCACTGTCAACTTTTGCCACATGTAGAGAGACTGGTGATTACAGCAAAACCCTCGAAAGTCTCTCAATAAATCTAAGTTGACAAAGATGACTTTAATTATTTCATCCACATGAACAGGAACACCTTACCTAAACAAAGTTGGAGGAAAAAACTTCGCTCTATCACTCACGTGCTCCCTCCATTGGTATGCGACATGTCTTACTGTATTTACAATCAACCTCCGCAAAATAGAGTTTAAGTAATTTTAAAGCCCACAAGCTACTTTTTCCGGCGAATGTTCTCCCCACTTGATTGCTTCACGAGAAGGCTGTTGACAAACTGCACAGGGGCATCGCGAGTGTCTCTGGGAGAGTTTCTTTAAACATATTTAAGATCGCTTTTCAACTGTAATGGACATACAGCGACCACTGTAATTTAACATTGGTTTTATAAGTTGAGGGTAACGGCAGCAGAGCACGCATACGGATACACACGAACATTCATTCAGTCGCTGTCTGGAGGAGAATTCTAGCGGCCGACGACTCTGATCGGTTGTTTTCCGTGGTTTCTCCAATCAATACCAGGCGAATGCCGGAGTAGTACCATAACAAATAGGTCACGGTCCGCGCGGGACCTTTCTTTCCCTTCATTGTTCTATCCTCACCCCTTACACACACATACTTACACTAACATGCACTACACTACCATACATGCCGGGAGACCGATCGGGAGCTTACAGCTTGTCCCGGCTGGGGCGGTGCCGCTGGTGGCTGATACCTGGTACGGAAAAACCCCGCTAGTCGACGGTAGGTCGGCGCCGAATCTTGCCATACAACGGGATATCTCACTGCCACCTCCGAGCGAAACATGCACTACACTTCCGGGACTAACGACCCTGTTAGTTGCCGTGCGCGGCATCACAAAACAATCACTCAATCAATCAATTACCGAACATTCATGCCCGGGGCGGGAATCGAACCGCCGGCCCTTTAGCCTTAGTGACCTGGGCTATCACGGTCCGCGTTCTCGGCGCGTGTAACGGTGCGGGGGGGGGAGGTGGAGAGCTGTTGCGGCAGGTGAAGAAACCGCCATTGACGCCGGCGGTCAGTGGAAAGGACCTGGCGCCGCACGTGGGCGCTGCGCGCGACGGAAAGCGCCGTTGGTCAATGACAGGCGCGCGCAGCAACCGCCTCCGAAGATTCCGAGAGCCTTTTCACAATTGGCGTCGTTACTCTTGTGGAAAATCGGGAAGTACTTGTGTTAGTTCGGGGGTATGCATATTCAGATTGGAACGGCAAATTTTTGGTGGTCGGGTAAATTTCCTCTAAGAAGCAGAAACACAAATTTCGTCTTCCAAATTAAAGGATAACATTTTATTTCACACAGTTCATTCTTTATAGTAATGTACACTTATGTATTTCGTGTTTCTATGCAATAAATAATTTTTTTATTGTATACTGAATTTTATCATATCAATTCAGAGCTAAAAAAATGACGCGCTCTTTTTTTAAATCGTTTTGAAAACGACCTCACAAAACCAAAAGATTTCTTCCGTTTAGGTGTAGTACAATATTAGGCTTCATTCAAACGTTCATGCTCTCGGATTGCGAACTGATAATGGACAAAAAATGACAACGGAAAATAAATATAATTCGCACTGGAAAATTATCACCCTCTTTTCCTAACCTACCTTCTGCGGCTAAATGTTTTTTATTCGAGAAGAAAACCCTGTTTTATTCTCTTGTCATACGTAGGGACTTCTTTTGAAATTATTTTATGCAATTTTATGAAATTATTTTATGAAATTAGCTTATAAAAATATGCATTGTTTCTGCTAAAATTGTTGATCATGCTATTGAAAATATTTATAGTAAGAATTAAAGTAGTGCTTTATTTTCCTGAGTCATAAGTTGTTATAAACAATGTGATTCATTAACATTACGAACATTTGAAGTTGAGTTTTTTCAAATAGTTGTCAAAGTTTTTATCACAATTGGCGGATTTACTAACGAATTCCTCACGATTTTAATTTTGAAATCTCTATTTAATTTATGACTCAATATTTGCGGAGATTTTGTATTTAATAATACAATGCCGAAATATAATTTTTCCATGCTTAATTCCACGACCTATTCGAGTTATCGTTGCCGTGAACTATTTAATTGAACTATTAAACTTTTTAAACGTTAATAAAGTTTTTCGACGAAGGGGCAACAGAAGTCTTGAATATCATGACACCATGAATAAATAACACTCGAAAAATACTAGAGTATTGTAGTTACTGATAATGAAAAGCTTCTTAAAGAGAGTTGTAGTTACTGCTTTCAATCTTACAAGAGCAGTGCACAAGAGGTGAAATTACTAACTGTTCTAGAGGTTTCAGGAACCCATCTAGGTTCGAGATTTGTTTGTTTTCCCGTTGGGATTGCCCATACAAGGGTACTCAATAGTGTGTCTCTGAAGATAAAACAGGAACCCAACGAAACATGTATGCCCATTAGTTATGTTTAGGTAAGTGAAATGAGTATTTTATAAATGCCTCAATTCCGTTTTGTGATGGATTCAAGATACTCTTCAGTTGGAAGATCATTTGAATACGGGTTACAAAGAGTGTTCAAATTCCAAACACTGTGTTACTAATAAATATTTTTTGAACAATTGGTTTTTTAGGACTTTATCCAGCCGACAGCTGCCTGCCCTTGGGAGGTGTAGACACCAACTCCTCTGATCTGGGGTCAACGGAAGAACTCACACCTACAGCGACAACATGTAGATACATGAGAGGCAAGGGAGAAAATCATGCCGAACGCGGGATTCGAACCCGCAACCCATCGGACACAAGCATAGAGTCCGTACACGCTTTTAGCCACCTCGGCCATCCAGGTGGGCTTGAACGATAATTGTGAAAAGTAAAATATAATGTAAATTGAGTTAAATATTCACTAATAAAATTATCGAACTATATTTATATTAATACAATTAAAAGTGCGAAGGGCATCCGGTTTTCTGTTTATTGCAATATAAGTTAATTACGGAATGAAAACACGCAAACAAGTTAACATTATTTGAATAGATTACACTTTTTAAATATGTTGGTATAATCTTCACATATTTAATAAACATTTTAGCGTTCGTAAATATTCAGGTTCTAGAAACTCCAAAATTAATCACACATGGAAAAAATAGGATTAGAACGAATTCGGAGTGTGTAGTTTCTCTTCTGCATTCGATTAACCCAAGTAACACTAAATAAACTGGAACGGGTTAAGTTAGAAATCTTTGGCATGAGCCATTTATTGAAGATGGCATTTAAAGCACAAATCAACCACTTTTGCGAAACTGAATTTACAGCAAAGAAATAATAGAATCTCAAAATGTTGTTTATATTTTTTTCAATTTGATTTAATCCGAACGCACTCTTGTAAACATTCCTACTTTCCATGATTTTTCCCGTCAACAAATAAACTTAGAGGAAAAATTAATGTCGGAATTAGGACTCAAAAAAAAATGTGAATGTTTCTATTTCGGTTCGGCACTGTCAAGTCAAGAAAAGATTTTGAATTCTAAATCATTTAGGATGTAATTAATCTGCAAGAATCTGCTTGAATGAAGAGTTCAATTGAAGCAATCTGCTTGAATCAAGTATACAGTTCACTCAAAAATGTTATGTGTACAAACATTCCATGTTTCTAGTTTAAGATTCCCTGAATAAGGAAAACATGATTTAATATTACTTATAAGAGTACATTAAACATGTAAAGAAACATATTTAGTAATTTTTCTCTTGTATATTTTTATACCTTTCACACATGCTGAGTTAAGAGGTCCAATTCAAAAAGAAATAATTTAGTTACATTAAAAATCCCTAAAAAGATTTACCATGTCAGTGCCTATTGGACAGAAGGCCTTGGCAACTGTTTATAAAAGTATGTAGATAGTTATCTCATCACAGAATTCTCGTAGTTGTATTCTGACAAGAAAAAGTTTGGAGTGGACTAAAGTAAATAGTAAATAGTTTCCACGTGCCAGTGTCAAATCAGTATCACATACTATCGATTTTTCATATCAGTTTTTCGCATCATGAAATGTATTACTTTTAGAACTTACATTTATATTTTAAATAAAATTTCTAATAATACAGTAATCAAATTGAACAATTGAAGGGCTCAGTAGAACAAGAATTCATTTCACATTTTTGGTGAAATTGATTTACTAGCATCAAATATAACTTCAAATATAAATATTTTAGTGTAAAGTGTTATTTGAATTCATTATGGACTTACGAGCAAATGTATTGACTTCAAAAGTTTTAAAATGTACTAAGTTATGTTAAGAATGTTCTTGTAAAACCATCATTATATCAGGACTGGGTCAATGTGGGATAGAAACTTGTTCTACTGAGCCCTTCATTTCACTTTCACATCAGATGTGAAACCAGACAATTTTTTTAAAATACGTAACACATGATTAAGTGATGTTCAGCGAAAATAGTGTCATTAAGAACTTGAAAGGAATAAAGGATCTAGCAACACACTTATTTAACTCTCTTAAAATTAATATTATAAAAGTAATAAGTATACTTTAAAGATGACACTAATGAGAATGGAAACAAAACATTTGAAAAATGGATATACATTTAAAAAATTCAATATTATTTTAATATAAGCTAAGTATCATTCCTACCTTGACTGGAAGTTTGCTTTCCAGAGAATGCACCCAGAATACACTGCAACAATGAAAAATTATATTTTTGACTTATGACGGTATTATACAAGGCAGCGTAATGTGTGACATGCAACTCTTGCAGTAACCCACTAAGGAAGAAACTACTGTGACGATTATGACCTACTTCCTCAAGTGGTCAACTTGGCAGTTTCATTACAAGCTATCTTGGTATGAAAAAACTATACTCCTGAGTTCGGAGAAGCGAAAAAAAATAAATTAAATTAAATTCGAACGTGACTTCATAATTTCGATTTGACTGTATTAATGATGTTTGCATAGTTTATGTTGAAATTGATAATATTACCTGATCCTCTTTTTCAGAGGGGAAAATTGATTTATATTCATCTCTCCCCATACCTTTTTCATGTTTTGCCGTACTTATCATTTCAGCAAGTATTAATTATTTAATGTTTGTTCCTTACGCACGTTTTACGAAATAAACACATTTTGTAAATGGTATTCAGGCTCTCTCTTCCAAGAAATGATGATGAAAGAAGATATTGGATGCGTTTAATTCTTTTAGATATATTTTTTCAATACTAGATTCAACGATTTCTTTTTCAATGTATGGTATAGCTGAAGTAAATAGTGTTTTCTTAGTATTTATCAAGATCAACTTTTTCCATAGGATAAAAATGAATTCTATAAAAGGTGCAAAACGTGATAATATTATTTGCACCCCCACCATCCACGACCCTCCCCCAATGGCGGTTGGCCCCGTCTCGTCTCATGCCCCTGCCGGCCCGACCCGGCCCACCCTGCGCCGCTTGTCAGCTAAGTCGAGCTCAGCCGTTATCTGGAGGAGAATTCTAGCGGCCGGCTGTGACACGACTCTGAAAACGGTACCCAAGAATAAACAACGCCCTGCCTGTGAATGCGCATTACATCTCGATACGTCTAACTTCAAATGCGAACTCCACCCGCTAACGGACGATGAAAAACACTGTTTTTGAAGTACTATTTGTGCACTATTTTTTGAATTTAGCAAAGTCAAGGACTTTGCAACATATAAAACAGATGTATTAGAGGCGTGTGTCATTACAAGAAAATAACAGTGAAACTTACAGAATGTTGGAATATCAAAAAAAATAAGGACTCGATAGTGATGAAAAAACTTACATTTAGGGGCTGTGTATTATCTGTAAAATACTTCTAGAACTGCTAAATAATATTTTCCCAATGAAACAAGTTTATCTCAAAGACAACAAGGAGAAAGCATCCTCTTTATTATACAAATAATAGATAAAACAAACCAAATGTAAAACTCAATTTATCTCAGTTCCATACCCTTGGTAGAATCCTCTCTCACTGGACACCTCAAGCCTAAGTAGATGAAATAACTTAATTGTACATATTTCGATTTCGGAACAAGTCAATGTGTGATATGATCGTGTTGATTATATATAATATCGAATCATATTACGTTTACGAAAATAATGCTCTCATGGATAATAACTCAAATTTGCGAACGTTTACTTGAGCGGTGTGTTCCAAATGCGAGAGGAGTGGACGATTTAACTATTTCATCGGCGCTACTCTCAAATACAATCTGGAGCACTTTGGACTGTTTCTAGTTCCGTATGTGTAGGAGATAATATTTCGTTTTGTTTTGGGTGCGTTACAGGTTTGTATGATATGATAGTTGAGCTCCGACATATACCACGAAATTCCACCCGGCAAAGAGTCAAACTCTTGTCTTCAAAGGTTGCATGATATTCGAGTATACATTATAAATAACTGGAAGATCACACGTTACACAAATAGGTATAGTCGTCATATGGGCTTTATTCAATGCTAGTAATAGTAATTACATTTTATAGTTCATTTATAAGATAAATGAGAAGATATATGTTTTACATATTTTCCGAGTGTTGGATAAAGCTTTACTAATATATTTTCAAAAGGAGAGAAACGTTATCAATTAAGAATATGAACATGAGAGAAAAGCAAAACTCGAGAAGGGAGTTAACAACGGGGTGGCACAAACGCAAATTTCGGATTTTCAGATTTTTGCACAGGACAAAGCGACGGGCAAAGACCACTACACGGCCACTCCCACATCAGCGACGAGAGACAAGAAGAGACACGATGATTGACAGAAGTTACTTCAGTTGCATAAAATAACATATATTATCATATACACATAGATTCACGGAAACCTCAGCAGTCTCCTGACAAGTGAGAAATGTCGATAGTTTTTTTAGATACCCACAAATAATGGGAAAATACGCAAAAAATAAACTGTCAGTTTTGACAGTTGAAACAATTTCTAACAAAATGCAAACATTTGATTATGCTCATTCGCAAAATCTCATAAATGATGCTACGACTATATTTTCCTACACAGTGCGTCATTGATCATGACTCAGTTGACGTCATGTGACGAGAAAGATATGAAGCTTCAGTATTCACGTGAACCATTTCAGCTTTCAGAAACCAATTTTCCACACACTCGACAGCAGCATTTTTGCTGCTGCAGGCCAATAGTTTAACATACCGCGTGAATAATTACCACTTTCGAAAGATAAAGTCAATAAAATTAGAAACGATTTCACATTTTTAAGAACTGATAATGTTGCAAACGGAATTTCATTAATTTACTACTCAACCGCGGTGACACTGGCTAAATACAGGTTAATATGTTGAGTCTCACGGGCTATGCTAGTACGGAATAGTAAGTCTAATAAAAAATACGGGCTCACGGGCTATGCTAGTTCGGAATAGTAAGTCTAATAAAAAATACAGGCTCACGGGCGTTACAACTTCGGCGTTTGGGGCAGCTTAGCACGTTCCTTGGTGGCCACGCCTGGACGGCGGGCAGTCGCAGCCGGTGGGAGGAAGCCGCACTGCGACGGGAGGAAGCGAGTCAGACGTCATGACTAGCGCACAACCTCCTAGAAATCTGAGAATAGGGAAACAGGTAACAGGAACAATTACGGCCAGCTGCTCTGTGAAGTACAACATAATGCGTTGTAGAAATTAATACAGATTAACAATTTTTAGATCACGTGGAAGTATTGAAAATGGCCTACTGTTTCATTCTTACACACAGATCATTACCTTACTTTAATGGAAGAGTATCTCACATGGTAAGGTAGCAATGTCAGAAATCAGGTAGGTGATTTGTCTCGAGTTGCGAGTTGTTTGGTGGCGTCTAGAATCTGGGTCTAACACTTGCACAAGACCGGGCACTTGCTATTTTGTGTGTGAAAAAGGCGAACTTCGGAAAAGGCGAGCTTCGGAATTACAGAACGTGATATGTAAATTTGAAATGTCATCTTCAGATTTCACAAGTAAATAGAAGTTCATTACCACTGGACAACCATTCGAAAAAGTAAACCTTCAAATTATCCAAACATTTATTTTTATCCACGATCAGAAGTAGAAGTAGATAGAGAGTTGAATTAATTTAAAGTAAAAGTTACGCAAAAAAACTTGTTTTTACAAAAAATTGTGCACTGACTTTTTAATAGCATGTTTTTATAACATATTTTGTTTCAAGCAAAAATCAAAATGTTCAATGTTGTTGTTCTGAAATTTCAAAATTTTGAAATATTTGAAAATACAGAGAATTTTGGGAAATGACCTTAGCACCAAGTTTTACCGTCCTTTGATACACACGAGGAGAAATTAAAATAAACAATTCGCAGACGTTTTTGAAAAAAAGTTTAAATAACTTGATTGATTATATTTCACGAAAAATTACGTATGCAAAACAAATACTCACATTTTCGAACAGAATGTACATGATATTATTTCAAGATCTGTCTTTAAAGAACAGATTTTATTCACGAAAGTAATCTATATTTTCAACATAGTAGTTGTAGGGAGACGCAGAAAAAAATTGAACTTGCAAGTTCTGAAAAATTACGGATTTCAATGACCGCGACCTGCATGTTTCTCATAAGCGTTCCTTACCGCATTCGACAAAAACAAATGCGGAGCCAATTTTGAAAAAAATACGAAAAAAAATAATATTGAGGCTTAATGTGATGTACCACCAAAAATCAATGTATCCGATTGAAACACAGAGGACCTCAAGTACATTTTAATCGGTTGAGGAATATAAATGTTTAGAGAAAATCTGCTGAACTGTTTAGGTGCTAGTGCCGATCATAGACGGGCGGACGGACGGGCGGACGGGCGGACGGGCGGACGGGCGGACGGGCGGACGGGCGGACCGGCGGACGGGCGGACCGGCGGACGGGCGGACGGGTGGACGGGCGGACGGGTGGACGGGTGGACGGGCGGGCAGACGGACAGAAAGACAAATTTGCCGTCAATCGATTTTACGGTATCAATAATTCACAACAATGGCGTCTGACTATATAACATGACACAGGAAGTAACTTTCTGTTTATAGGAACAAGATTTATCCAATTCGTTACCAAGGCCCTACAATAATAATTTTATCGTAGAAAATTCGCTGTTTCCAGGCGCTGAATTACAATGCTTCTCTTCTTACGACATAAGGAAGCAAAGCAAAAAGTAGCAAGAAGAGCCAGAGAATTAAGAGTACGAAAGCGACAATGACGGTGACAACGAAATTTATGGCGTTTTCGAAAAACATGTTAAGTAATTATACTTTCCAAACAATGCAGATAATGACAAGTAAAAGAAAATAATCAATAGCTGAAGATATTAAAAACCACAACACTTCAGAGAAAAATGTATTATTGGACTTAATGAAATACACCCCTGGCATTGTGAGACGATCGTTGGTCAAATCTACTCAAACCGTGTCGTTAGCAGGAATATATGCTCGACAATAGTGCCTAATATAGCGGTTGAAATGGGTACCGCAATATGCATAGTTCAATAAAAGTAAGAGAATGAAGAGAGGAAGGCGAAGGTATGTTGTCACAAATGTCTTAATAACAAGCGGTGAAGACCGATAATCATATAAGTCAACATAAGAAAAACAACAGGCAACAAAAAATAGAGACAATGATGATATTTTTTCACCGATAATGTAACATTGTTTTATGCATTTCCTAATGT